AATTTCTTTCTGAAACTTGATATAGAGGTCACTGTTGGGATCTGTGGTTAAGATATTGGCCGTGGTTTTGGAAATGTGTAATATAATTGTTCGAAAAGTAATAAGTGGTACTAAATTGGGTATTGAGCGAATATTTTTTTTTTTTTTGGATATACGTACTAAATTTGGTATAGATATGAAATTCTGAAATTTTATATGTGGTTCAGAGGCTTTGTTGGGCCATTTTTCTTCGGAAATGAGCAAGGAGTGTTCGTTTTGTTATCGGACCATGACGAACAAATTTTAGTTCACAAACATTGAAGAGGAAGTTATTGACAACGTTTTGTTTCAAACATATTCGGGCCAAAAATCTGGAAATTCTGAAGAATAATCAACTTTTTTGTAATTAATACATAACTCAATTTTTGACATGTATGAAGAGCAGGCTGATACTTTTTAAGTTTTTTGTTAATTTTTTTTGATTTTTGAATATTTTAAGGAATGTGTACACAGTGAGAATATATTTTCGCAATGCTTCCAAATTTGATTAGAATATATAAAAAATATCCAATTTTATACAAAAAGAATAAAGTGCCCTGTTTGTTCAAACTTCCCACACAATTCAACCCTCCACTTTGTTTAAAAAAATGCCGATCCCATCTGGAGACGAGGAAGAAAATGTGCCTACAATGGGAGTCTAGGGATGTCGTTTCTTTAAATTTGATAGAATTTCATTATCTTACGAAATCGATGAATTTTTTATGTTTATGACTGTTCCAATTTTGGTCATTTGGAATGGAGAATCCATAAGAAATTAACTTCAGAAAAAAACTCTTATTACTTAGATATTCCAACTAAGAAACCTAACAAACCCCCCTGTCGTATGCTAAACATTATTTTACAACTGCCACACAAATACCATATAAATCATACGCACGGCATGGCAAAGTAAGTGACTCATAAAATAGGTGTCTGTCACTTATGTTATTATTGGATTTAGGTTTATTTCGACGAAAACAAAACAAGAAAAATAATGTTAACTTATCCTCTTACAAGGGCTGCTGCTCTCGCCCTGCCACTTGCCATACAACTGCTAGACGTTGTTGATGCCACGACAGGGCCATATCACCGCAAAATAATGCCACTGTCAACAGAATAATACCGGCTAAACGAATTAGTTTAAATTGATGTTGAAATATTACCCAAAGGGCGAAGTCACAACAACGTTAAGAGCCTTAGACGAATTGCCAGTCTCCCCACCTCCCTCTCTTCACTAGAGAGGGAAAAAACACCTTTACGGTGTATGTTACCAAAAATTTACTTTTATTTTGACATAATCTTTTAATGTTGTGACATTTTTTTAAAGGAGCTCAAATTTAGGTTTCTCCTCTTCTCAGATGGATTACATTTGAGCTGTATATCAAACATAAGAGTAGGAAAATGGGAGGAAGGGAAATCGTGAGGGGAGCTAAAGAAAGTTTGTAGGGAAAACTAAGGCATTTTGTGGCAAACAAACAATGTTTATTGAAAGGAAATTATGTTTTGTACAGTGGAAAGCGGCCAGACAGCCTGTTTCAAAAGGGGACAAAAACATAATCCCCAAGGAAGGAATGCCATAAAGAGGAACACCAATATGTGAGGGAGAGAATGATATACTGCGTATTTAGGTTTATTTTTTTATTCGAATTTCATATGTTTTCGATATTACCCAGGGGAATTGGTCAACATTTTCGTTTAACTTATTTGAATTGGAATTGATTTTAAAATACGAAATTTGTACTAGGAAGTGAGGTGGGAACAACAAGACAATGTTGACCTTAAAATTTGTAACAAAAATAGAAAACCAGTAAGAGAACAGGCAATCGGGCCGACTATTCAATAGTCTACACCAATTTGCATATTTAGTACTTCCTCCGCCCTAATTAATTTATTATAATTATTTATAATCAGGGTAATCATGAAAAAATATTTCTCGCGGATTACTTTCCATTACCTATTTTGAAAATTTTTATTTTCGAAACGAGAGTGAGAAGTGTTAAGAAACGGCTAAAGTTAAAATCTTAGAATTGTTCACGAGGGCTAGTCTTGGTGATAAGGCTGAGTTTTTGGAAATTTGTAGTGTAAGAAAAAATATTAAAATGTACTTTGTCTCGGTCAAACAAAATGAATTGAGGTTTGGAATGAGAATCATTGATGGAGTGCAGGGTAAATGTATAAAAGTATTGGTATTGGTATTGGAAAGTAACTTCGATATATTAAGGTAGTTAAATATGTAGTAAATGGTATTAAATTTGGTTCAGGGTGAACGGATGAAGCTGGAATTTTGAAATTTTGTATTGGGGTCCCTTTTGGTGGTTGATTTTTGATAACGAGGTGGTTTTGGAAATGGAAAATGAAAGAAAAGTGCCAAATTGAAATCTGAAATTTGGTATTAGTACTATAATTGTACGGAAATTACTGAATTGTACTAAACTTGGTATGGTATGTGATAGGGCTGAAATCCTCAACTTTGAGGACAGTGACCTGTTGGTATTTGGAATTGAGAAATGTGTAAATAATCATTCGAAAAGCTCTAAGTGGTACTAAATTTGGTATTGGGTGAAGGGATAGAGCTGAAATCCTGACATTTGATATTAAGGTCTCTGTTGGTAACTGAAATTTAGATATGGAGGTGGTTTTTAAAATTTGTACTATGATTGTATCTTTCTTTCAAAAATCTTTTGGTAGATACACCCCATAAGTGAGCCTCATTCGAAATTTCAGAACTCAAGCTCTATTCGTTTTCCTAATAAAATGTATTAAAATTTTAGTACCTTTTAGTGCTTTTAGTTCGAATTCCCAAAAACCCAGCTTTGTCTAAGTCCTACACACCAACCTTGACATGCAAAATGTCAAGATTCTAGCTTCAGCCTTTTCGTTGATAAATCAGTCAGTTAGTCACTCAACGGTTTTTGGGTGGTAAAGGGAAATTTTACCCCATTTTTTTTTAAATTTGCCGAAAATCCCATCATAGAGCTGTCAAAATAAGTCTTCGTTTTGGTATAGTCCCTATATAATTGTATCTTCGATATTCGGTATTTTGATGATTTGTGTCGCACCTTTCACAAGAAAATTTTTTAAATTTGGAATTTGAAGTTCCTATATGCAATATAGCCCCTATATAACGATACTTCCATATATTCGGAATTTTTATGATTTTACCGTATTTTTTCAACAGTTTTTTTTAATATGCAAAGCCCTTGCAAGTCGTGAAGATCTTTAAAGTTCTGCCCGAATTTACTGTTTTTTTTTCTTTGTAATATATAGATGCCTTCTAATTGCCTTTCTTGCTTAGACGAACTTCCAGGGATCTTCATTTAGTCCATAGGACTTCATTACATTGTGGTCCTTCAAGAGGTATTTAATACACAGAAGATTCCCTACCTGAATATACCTTCCAGAGGTCTTAAATAAATATACAATTTCTTCCTTCTTAAAATTTTGCATGCATATAATCCTTCCGATGGCCCCTTTCAGAGTCCTCCATTTAGAGAAGTCCCCTATAGAACGTCTATAGCTAGAAACGACATATGGAAGCTCTTTCTGGTATAGTTTTCATAGCTTTTCGGTTCGGCCAGGCCCTCTACCATTTTGAAGGAACTTGAAAAATTTAAAAAAAAAAATCATAGAAAAATGCTTCTCAAATGAAACCCCATAGCCATACCACCATAGCCCCAATGCGAAGACGTGTTTCATCATAAGCAATTTTTTGTCATAGGCTGTAGTACCAGTTCCGAACTTCAAATACGAAATTTAAAACAATTCCGGTGAGTATTGCCGATAAAAATGCCAACAAAACGGGAAATCTTTAGAGGTCTTCTGTGTATGGAAGACCAGTTTCGAATAGGAGACTACCAGGGAAAGGCCTGGATTTTGTATCTGGATTTACAAGCTTATCTGTCTGCTTTGGGGCTTTGGAAGGTCTCCTACCTTTACAGGAGTTTTTGATTTAACTTTAATTAAGTAAAAACTCTCAGATTTTTTAAAGATTTATTTATTTGTACCCTAATTCCGGGAAATTATTTTTTTCTTGGGGAACGGACCCGGATATTTTACCCGAAAGTCCGGGTTCAAGACCTGGGTTATAAAAACGATATGAATCTACAACAACGATAAGGTATTTATCATTTGAAAGCTAATAAAAAATATTGCTATGTCTCAAGGAAAGGTTGCAATGTCAAATATAATTTGGCATATGTATTTCATGGAGTCGCAAAGTGGACCTTTTTAGACTTTTGTGGTATTTTTTTTTAAATCCTGGTCTAAAAAGTCCATAATTTTGATATAACCCAAATAACCATATAACATTGGGCAGGTATTTTCGTTAGCTTTCAAATATATTATCCATATCGGTTTTATAGAACCGGATTAGAAAGTTCGGGTCAAATATCCGAAAATCCGGGTCAAATATCCGGTTCCTACCTCTGGAAAAAATTTGAAAAAAAAATCTGAGAATTTTTACTAAAAGTTTTACCAAACTTAACATTCTTTTGCGTAACAATAGCATTAACTTTTTCTCAGAGAGAGAGAGACAGGGAGAGATACAGAGAGAATCAAGTCTCCAAACGACCTACAGATCATAAACCTCCAGAAATAATTAATTTTCACAAGAAATTTCCACACGTTTCGGCCCATAACTGCTAAAGTTAATGAGATAACGCGTCAACAGCGAGATACGTGTCATCTCTCTTTTGGTCTTCTACAATGTTGTGGTGTCAAAATGGGGTTAATAATGTTTGATTTAAAAATTTCACACAGTTCCGCAATCTTTCTAATAATTTTAAAATTCCTCGGGATAACAATTTTCCACATTCTCTTATAAACATTTATAGAATATCTCATACCCTGTCTATTGATCAGACATTATCACACTTACAAATTAATATATGTTACGAAATGTAAGCCACGCATACATTACCATATAGACGTGGGTGTGTCAGTGTTTTAATAACCTGCAAAAAAAAACAGAGTCTTTGACTTACCTGAATGTGTCGAGTATCATTGTAAAAAGTACAAATTTCCCTAAAAGCGGCACAACTAACGATGTTGGCGGAATAATTTCCGCCAGCAGCAAGAAGAACACAGTCAACGACAGTAAAATGGATATGCTTAATGAGACCTGCAAAAAAGAAGGGGAAGAAGACGAAAAAAAAACGAACCAAAAATATCAACAACAAAAGGCAGTAGGGAAAAAAGAAAACATCATCAGCATCAGTAATACAGAATAAAGAACCAGAATTATTTTTCCACACACACACACACACTCGCACACAGACAAAATATAGTCAAGTCAAAGAATATTAAAGTTTGATGCAAATCAAGTCCTTCTCTGATTTTTTTTTTGCTGGCTAGAAGAGGATGACTGAATCTGCTAGAGAGATGTAATCGTATTTGGTGTCGTCATCATCATCATCCTCGCCAGCATCTTTACGATACGTCAGTTACAAATGTTCAAACATAAATATTTATGACAAAAAAGACAAAAAGGAAAAGTAATGGGTCGTTGTCTGTGAGTGTGTGTTAGTGTGGCCAACATGGCATGGCAAATTGCAGGGATTGTGGGTGTGTGTGTGTGCGTGTCCGTTTGATGAGCTTTGAATAATTTACTTACTTTTTCACCACTATCTGATGGCAGATAAAATACTAAAATCGTTAAAAAACTGATTCCCATACACGGTATAATGAGATTAACTGTATAGAAGAGCGTTTTACGGCGCATTGTGATATTAAACGTGATATCCAAGTACGGCTCATCGCAGCACGTATAGAATTTTTCATTTCTGCGGAAGAGAAGAAAAAAGGGGTTACATGTGAGAAAAAAGCATCAACAAAGAATAAATTAATCAAAAGAATGTAGTGGGAAAACGAAGAGGAAAATTTTGAAATTTTCCAAAAATTGTGAAAAACTAGTAGTGTACTATCGCTCATCATTATCAGCGCTCTGGCGAGGTCAATCATTAATAGTTGGCACTGAATCATTGCTACCACTGCCACTTTTTCACAAAGGATAATGAATGAATGACGGGAGAAGAAGTAGAACAGAAAAAGAAAAACGAATAAAAATGCCATAACTTCGGCCGGGCCGAACTTTGTATACCCTCCACCATTTGGAACAAAAATTTGGCAATTCTCAAAAACAATAAAATCCGTTAAAAATGCTGTTAAAATCTTAGAAATACCGAATGTAGCTGTTATATTAGGGTCTATAGGACGACATGGACCTCCATAGGTAACTTTTGTCATAAGCCACTTCAATATTCAAATGCGACACTTGAAAAAAATCATCAAAATACCGAATATCGGGAGCTACCGTTTTATGGAGGCTATACGAAGATGTGGACCTGCACAGACAATTTTCTGTCTTAGGCTGTAGCATCCATTACGAACATCAAATACCAAATTTGAAAGAATTCCGGTGAATAATGTCGCTAAAATCAACAAAGTACCGAATATCGGGAGGTACCGTTATATGGGGGCTATACGAAGGAGTGGATCTGCACAGACAATTTTCTGTCTTAGGCTGTAGCATCCATTACGAACTTCAAATACCAAATTTGAAACAATGCCGGTAAAAAATGCCGTTAAAATCATCAAAATATCGGAAGGTGTTGTTATATGGGGACTATACGAAGACATGGATCTGCAGAGACAATTTTCTTTCTTAGGACAATTTTCTGTCTTAGGCTGTAGCATCCATTACGAACTTCAAATACCAAATTTGAAACAATGCCGGTAAAAAATGCCGTTAAAATCATCAAAATATCGGAAGGTGTTGTTATATGGGGACTATACGAAGACGTGGACCTGCAGAGATAATTTTCTTTCTTAGGCTGTAGTATCCATTACGAACTTCAAATACCAAATTTGAAAGAATTCCGATGAATTATGTAGCTAAAATCATCAAAATACCGAATATCGGCAGGTACCGTTAAATGGGGGCTATACGAAGATGTGGACCTGCACAGACAATTTTCTTTCTTAGGCTGTGGCATCCATTAGGAACTTCAAATGCCAAATTTGAAACAATTCCGATGAATAATGTCGCTTAAATCATCAAAATACCGAAAATCGGGAGGTATTGTTATATGGGAACTATATGAAGACGTGGACCTGCACAGACAATGTTCTGTCATAGGCTGTAGTATCCATTATGTACTTCAAATACCAAATTTGAAACAATTTCGGAGAACTATGTCGCTAAAATCATTAAATGCCGAATATCTGGAGGTACCGCTATATGGGGGCTATGCGAAGACGTGGACTTGCAGAGATAATTTTTTTTCTTAGGTTGTAGTATCTATTGTGAACTTTAACTACCAAATTTGAAAGAATTCCGATGAATAATGTCGCTAAAATCAACAAAGTACCGAATATCGGAAGGTACCGTCATATGGGGGCTACATGAAGACGTGGACCTGCACAGACAATCTCCTGTCATAGGCTGTAGCATCCATTGCGAATATCAAATACTAAATTTGAAAGAATTCCGATGAATAATGTCGTCAAAATCAACAAAATACCGAATATCGGGAGGTATCGTTATATGGGGGCTATACCAAAACGTAGACCTAAATGTCCCATTTTCAATACCAAAGGTCCTGTTGACATGATATGCATTTGAGTAAAATTTTATCAATCTACTTCAATTAGTTCGGAAACTAGAGTGATTTCTACAGACGGACAGACATCGCTAAATCGACATAGAATTTTATGCTGATCAAGAATTGTATGCTGAGGTCTAAAATGTATATATTTCGAGGTGTTACAAACGGAATGACAAACTTCATATGCCCTCCATACTATGGTGGAGGGTATAATAAACACATAAACAATGCAGTTGCATTGAATGGAAATCAAATGATTTATTGAATGCTGCTTCGTCCTCAGTCTCCTCGAGATGGAGAAGAAAAATTATCTCGACCAGCACATCAAGGATAATAATAAAATAAAGAATTCATCTTTTGTGTTGTTGTTGTTGTTGTTGTGTCGGTTGTGAAAACACATCAATTAAGAGATTTTTATTTTCCATTTCCATTTCCTTCTTTGGTTTTTCTTTTTTGAATTTCATTTTCAAGTATCCTCCTTTTCATTTTCCAGTGATGCGATGCAGTAATAAGTATATGATAATCACATAAGAATATATTTTAATCAAACAATCACATTAACATAATAAAGAAATATCACGAGGACTTTCAAGTATTTGTAATTTCCAATTTAGCATAAGTGGAAATGAATATATCATTGGCAAGTTAGCATTTGAAGGACTTTGTTTTAGAATATTTCGCAGACAATGGGGGGAGTATAACAATAATGAGATATAGAGGGTTTTTTTTGCCCAAACTGAACAAACCCCCGATTTTTGTAATCATTAATGGTTTTTATAGCCTTCACCATACTATGGAGGGTGTATTAACTTTGTCATTCCGTTGGTAACTCCTGAAAATACTTATGTCAGACCCAACAAAGTAACTACTTATAATTGGTCATGTTTGGCACGAATCATGGCCTTCAAACGGCCAATGAAACCGTCAACGCTGCCCGAATGTTGCTCTGCGGTATTTTGGCACATTGCTGGCGAAGCGGTTGCTTGAAATTCGTACTAAAAAGGTACAAAAAGTAGTAAAAGGTACTAATATTGTATCCTTTGTATTTGCGGAAGCAGTGGAATGAGGGTCACTAATGGATGGTCAATGAGGGAGTGTAGATAAACCAAAGGGTTTTTGAAAATACGCAATATAAGTGTACGAAAAGTACTAAAATGTACTATATTTGGTACCATTTCGTATCATAAGACTGAGCAATAGAGTCGATGTAAGGAGGTAATATTGCAAGTGTGCACTCTTGTATACGAAAATTACTAAATTGTACTACATTTAGTACAATTTGAATTTGGAGGAACGGAAGGAAGTGGAGTTCTGAAATTTGAAATTAACAAGGGATATGGATGGAGTTTCGAAGTTTGTACTCATGGTACTACATTTAATTCGATTTCGGTTTGGGTGAACTTGTAGAGCTAGAATGCTAAAATTTGTAAATAAAATTTCTATTTCATTGTAGGTCTGAGGTATGTAGGTAATTTTGGAAATTCGTACTTATGTGTACTAAATAATACTAAATTTGGTACAATTTAAATTTTTGGGAGAACCGGTAGAGTTGGAATTCTGAAATTTCAAATAAAATTTATATTGGATTGTGTGATTCGAATATTATATAAATCCGATACAAATACTACAACGTTCCACATACTACATCGACTACTCCCTTCACTTTTTATAAGATTTGAAATTTTTTATAAGATTTGAAAATCGTCGACTGAATTTTTTCAATTCATCTAGTATTTATATTTGAATCTGCAAAATTTTAATTAGAAATTTATTTCAAATTTTTTGGGAATAATTGTGAATAAAAATGTTAAACTTTTGTAGGAGGAGGTTCCAGAAAGAGTGGACCGACAAATTTAGTTAACATTTTGTGAGGCTTTTGTCAATCAACATTTTAACATTTTTGATACCTTGAAAAATCTGACCTGATGGTTCTTCATAAAAATTATAACCCATTTTATAACCACGTCTGTAGCCGTTGCATTTCTTGAAGGAAATTTTATTTAAATATGATTGTTTAAAGCCCTTGGCCCTTAAAAACCAACAGGACACCTTATTGGTCTTTGAAAAGTATTCTTCAGAAATACACAATTAAAGTTCTCATGGTCCGTTAAAAAAATCTTGAAAAATCTGCGTTAATGGACTTGATGGTCCTTGATGATAATGGTCCAAAATAAACGTTTATAAAAGAGAAGGTCCTTGACAAAACATTTTTTTAAAGAAGTTAAGTTATAAAAAGTATATTATTAAAAAATCCATGTTATATATTTGAAGTTTCATAAAAGAATATTTTTCAACAAATACACGTTTATGCTTTTGGCGGTCTTTGAAAAATGCTCTTTGAAAAAATCCACGATTATGTCCTTTCAAGAGTACTAAAAATACAAAGTTTGGGGGTCCTTTAAGAAATGTTTTTAAAAAATGCACAGTTACTGAAAAAATAATTTAAAAATCCATGAATATCGAACTGAAAGTCCTTCTAAAAAGTCATTAGAAAAACTCAAGCTTATTATACTTATATTACTTGAAAAAAAAACAATCTTTTAACCCCTCTTTTATGATCCCGATTTTCGTCGGAAAATACTTTTTAAAATCCAGTTTTACAATTCTGATGGCCCTTGAAAAATATTTGTCAAAAATCCACATTTGTATTCCTCATGGTACGTTACAAACTTTTTTTTTTGTTTTTAAATTAATAGACTTTGAAATTTTTCTCTTTCAAAAATCCACATTGATAGTTGTGATGATCCTTGAAAAAATATTGATTAAAACATCTAGTATTATAGCCCTTAAAAATTATTCTTTATATATTATTCTAAGCTAATAGTTTTGATTTTCCTTGAAAAATAATTTTTTTAAATCCATGTTCATTATCCTGATGATCCTTGAAAAATATTCCTAAAAAATCCACGTTTGTTGCTCTGATGATCCTTGAATAATATTCTTTTAAAATCCATGTTTATTGTCCTGATGGCCCTTTAGAATATACTCTGTAAAAATCCACGTTTATTGTCCTTGGAAAAATTGTCTTTTAAAATAAACGTTGTCGGAATTTTTTTTATACAAATATCAAGCTGAAAATCTTTGAAAAAAGTTATTAGCAAAAATCCTGATAGTCCTTGAGAAAAATCTTTTTAATACTACCTTTATGGTCCCGTTTTTCCTAGGAAATTTTTCTT